TGTGGTTTTCACAAAGAACCTGCTTGTTTTGTAAACTTTAACACTCTACTGATATTTTAAATGTATATTTCCTTCGTACGTTATCTCTTTCTATTTGTGAAGTTGTTAATATATAACATTTTGGGAACTATGGTAGAAACATATCTATCCATAGAATATCTTTTTTTAAATATGCAAACTTTGTACCATGATAGAATTTTAATTTTAATTATTAATTTACAGGTTCTTATTAGATATATAATAGGTTTTTTCTTTTTTTCATGCAAATATAATATATACAATAAAGGCTTTTATTCAGACATCTTCCCAAAGTGTAATATTTATATGGTTTATATGCAAACAATTAACAGTAGTTTTAAAATGTTGGGATTGTTTCATTCTAGCTGGGCTAGAACTTGCTAACTTATTGTGTACAGTGGAACATAGGCTCCTTTAGAATTATTTTGATGAAAGAAAAATGTATGTGTTTTTCCTCCTCCAGCATCCCAATCCCCAGGGTTACATAGATATCACACATTAAGCTGTGTTCATCTTTCTTGGATGCTTTATTACTGTTACAGTCGATACTGCCATTCACCAGTTTCTAAATACTGTGCACAAATTAAGGGATTTTATATTATTTACTTTTAATTGTCAGTGTTGACAAGTATTTGTGTAAATGTTAACAAAGATGCATGCTTTTTACATGTCTTTAATTTGGTCTCCCTTTATTTGGCAAGTCTTGAATGAGTTGTATCAACTTCAAAAAGCAACAAAGTTGAAACTTGCATTTGTCAAAAAAAAAAGTCTTGAAGTTTGCTGAAATGTTTTATGTGTGGATTTAAATTTTAAAAGCAGTAAGGGCTTATTACAATTTCATAACTGTGCATATGTTCAAATATATTTGTTCTACCCTCAAAAAATAAACTTGTCTGTGTACAAAGTACTACATGTGTCATCAGTTTGTTAATTTATCAACAATGTATTCTATGTAGTGTACACTTTGCTGAAATACTAGTGTTCTTTACACTTCTAAAACTAAGAACCAGATGTTGGGGGTGGAAAATGTTAGATTTTCATCACTGCTGGAGCTAGGGCCCTTTCACCCCAGTGCCTTGCAGGCTAGGCCCAGGCTGCTGCTCAGCTAGAGGGCAGAAGGGCTCCCCCAACCCCAGATGGGCTAAGCCCAAGACCTCTGCAGCATCAGGTTTTGCTCAGCTGGGGCGTAGAAGAAGCCTCCCCCCCCCAGCTGGGTGATCCAATGCTCCTGAGGCACCGGGGTCACTCAGATGGTGGGGGCAGTTTTGCGGAGCCCCCACCCCACTGCCGGCTTGGGCAAGCCAGTGCCAGACTGGGTTAAATGCTTGGCTGAAGGGAGCGGCAACCAGGTGATCCTAAACTGAGCAATTTAAAGATGCAGAGGGAGGAACAAGGTGTATCCACTCCTCGACTATTGCAGCTGGATTCTCCCTCTGAGCCATATGAGGGCAGACCGCCATGTCTGTTTCACTCAACGGTATATGGTATATAGCTTGTGCTGCGTTTCTGAGTCCCTCTGGATGAAGTTGTGCTGCTAGCAGAGGGACTCAGGAGCAAAGCGGTTTCATCAGTGATATACCACTGAGTGAAACCAACATTAGCTTTGGATCCCAATTCCAGTGTGAACTGGAAGTAGAGTAGGGTAGTGTTGCAGAAAAGTGATGCCTCTCTTAAATGCTTCCTTTCTTCGGAGAATGGGTAAAACCCTCCAACCTATTACTGATAGTTGCTTTTGAACTAGACTTCTGCTAGACCAGGCATAGGCAAACTCAGCCCTCCAGATGTTTTGAGACTACAATTTTCCATCATCCCTGACCACTGGTCCTGTTAGCTAGGAATGATGGGAGTTGTAGTCCCAAAACATCTGGAGGGCCAAGTTTGCCTATGCCTGTGCTACACTTACTAAGAACTTAGGTAAGGTAAAGGGACCCCTGACCATTAGGTCCAGTCGTGACTGACTCTGGGGTTGCGGCGCTCATCTCGCTTTACTGGCCGAGGGAGCCGGCGTACAGCTTCTGGGTCATGTGGCCAGCATGACTCAGCCGCTTCTGGCGAACCAGAGCAGCGCACGGAAACGCCGTTTACCTTCCCGCCAAAGCGGTACCTATTTACCTACTTGCATTTTTGACATGCTTTTGAACTGCTAGGTTGGCAGGAGCAGGGACCGAGCAACAGGAGCTCACCCCGTCACGGGGATTCGAACCGCCGACCTTCTGATCAGCAAGTCCTAGGCTCTGTGGTTTAACCCACAGTGCCACCCACGTCCTTACTAAGAACTTATTAGGTATATATTTCTCAACCACTTCCTTCTGGCAAAGTAGCTCAATGTGGTATACAAAGGGGCTGTGTTTATATATAAAAAATACCCTGCATCTGTTGAAATTCCTTATATACATAACTATTAAAGGGACAGGGTAACCTCCTGCCCCTGCATGCTCACATTGCCTAGGGCTTGGAAACATGCCCTTGTGGTTAAAAACAAAATAGAACATAATCAGAGCCTCCTGAATCAGGCCAATAGCCTATCTAGTCCAATATCCTTTGGTGACCAACCAGATGGCTGTGGGAAACCCAAAAGCAGGATTCAAGCACCAGAGCACTCCCCGCTCCTGTGGTTTCCAGCAACTCATATTCAGAAGCATTGCTGCCTCCAGCAGAGCATAGACATGATGGTTGGTAGCCTCTGATAGCTCTCTCCTCCATGCATTTGTCCTCTTAAAGTCATCTAGCTTGGTGGCCAGGCACTCTCATGCAGGCCCCAGGCAGCAGATTTTGGAGTACCATTAACAAGCAGCTTGGCAGATGTTTTGTTACTATGAAGGCATTGCCTGGATATTGTGTTTATATATAAACAAGCAAACAAAATTAGTTTTATGCCAGAAGTACAATCTTTACCTTATGGACTCTGTTTCTGCCACAGCATGACTATGACCTGACATGATAACTGTCCCCTTCCAATGCATGGGGACAAGGGCTTTGTGGCTAGCACCAGTTCAGGGTGTTTGTCATTCAAGTTTTTGTTTTTACTGGATGTTTAATACTAGTCCAATTCAAAATTGGGTTTGTAATGGCCAGAATTCTCCTTAATGCAACACCACTTTAGGCAGCATGTGTATCTACCCTGTATGGAGTACTGTGTCCAATTCTGGGCACCACAATTTAAGGAGGATGTTGACAAGTTAAAACGTGTACCGAGGAAGACAACCGAGATGATCAAGGGTCTGGAAATCAAGCCTTATGAGGAACGGTTGAGGGAGCTGGGTTATGTTTAGACTGAAAAAAGAGGAAACTGAGGAGATATGATAGCCATCTTCCAATATCTCAAGGGCGTTCACATGGAAGATGGAGCAAGTTTTTTCTCCTGCTCTGTAGAGTAGGACCCAAATCAATGGATTCAAGTTGCAAGAAAGGAGATCAGGAAGAACTTTCTGACAGTAAGAGCTGTTCAGCAGGGGAACAGTCTCCCTCAGGAGGTTGTGAACCCTACTCCTTTTGAGGTTTTTAAGCAGAGGCTGGATGACCATCTGCCATGGATACTTTAGCTGATATTTCTGCATTGCAGGGGGGTGGATTAAATGACCCTTGGAGTCCCTTCCAACTCTATAATTCTATGATTTCTAAATAAGTCCATGTGTCCTCAGGTCAGTGGCTACCGCACTGCAGCCTTCACCAGCAAGCCACCTTTCAAAGCACGACAACTTGCGTCAGCAACAGCCAGTAAGGGTGAGGGTTGTGGCCATAAGCATCTGGAAGGCATCAGGCGGGCGAGGGCAGTTCTGGTGGGTGCTTTGAGGCTTGCGTCTTCAGCCTTTGAAGCTGGCCAGAGAACCTCTTGTTCTGATGCTGCAACCAGCAGGCTCAACTCCCCCCCCCCAGCTACTCCTCTGGGGGGGGGGAATGAGAGTAATGTGAGAAGGAAGGGAAGACTGTGGTGATCATTACAAACCCTCCAGGTGCCCCTATTTTCCAGGGACAGTCCCCGATTTACAGAAGCCATCCCGGTTTCTGATTTGATCCTGGAATGTGCCGCTTTTCCTTAGGAGGTTCCTATTTTCATCGGAGAAATCTTGGGAGGGTATGGAGTTCGGCAACCCCCTGAACCAAGGAGATAAGCAGCTACATAACCTTTAGAAGACACCCCTGCGTAGGGAAGTTGTTTAATGTTTAATTATGTTTTTACATATGTTGGAAGGCATTCAGAGTGGCTGGGGCAACCCAGTCAGATGGGTGGGGTATTATTATTAGTATTAATAAGGAGTGCTTTTTCTGGGGGGACACAGGGGTATGCATACCCCTAAACATTTTGTGAATCTAAGTTTGGCCTTATTGAGGGGCAGCATTTCAATATGGGTATGAAAATGGGAGTACCCCTAATCATTTTTTTAGAAAAAAAGCACTAATAATAATAATAATAGAATAAGATGTTCCTATTTTAATCTGAGAAATGCTATGCTGGCTGTTTAGCAGTAATAATAAAGCATTCATTCATTCATCTGAGAAATGCTGGAGGATATGTACTGAACCGAGGCATCCAGTTGTTGTTGTTGTTAGTTGTTTGTTTGTAGGTATTGCTTTCCCCCTACAACTCTTCAAGGCATGTATTCCTATTCTAGGGCTTATAAATGTCTGTGTCTATATAATTTTATTGTTTCTCAATATGAACACCGTCAGATGGTCAATATTAGCTGCCTCCCCCAGCCCTGAAGGAGGAAGGAGCCGAGCGCAGCGAGCCGCTCTGGCGACTGAGCTCTTCTCCCGCCCGTCCCGTTTTTCCCGCCCAAGGAGCCGCTCCTCCTCCTTTCCTCCTCCTCCTCCTCCGCCCGCGCCGCCCCCGCCTCCTTCCTCCGAGCGCCCGGCAGGTGGCGCTGCAGCGAGCGGCGCTCGGCTCCCCCTCCGGTTCCCGTTCCGGGGCCGCAGCCGGGCTCGTTCCGCCGCCGAAAAGGCGCCCGCCGCTGCTGCTGCCGCCGCCGCCGCCGCCGCGCCCCCTGCCCCCACCCGTGGCCGGCCCCCGCGGCGCCCGGGGGCCGCCCAGCCTCCCCCTGCCGCCATGGCCACCAAGAAAGGGGGTTCGCGGCTGGAGACCGAGATCGAGAGGTGCCGCTCCGAGTGCCAGTGGGAGAGGATCCCCGAGCTCGTCAAGCAGCTCTCGGCCAAGCTCATCGCGAACGGTGCGGCCCTGCGAGGGGGGGGGAGGGAAGCCGCGGGGCCGGACCCCCCACGACCCACTTTCTCCTCCTCCGGCGAGGGTGGAAGGCGCAGGGGCGGTGGAGGCAGAGCTTCCCCCCAAGTAGGCAGCCGCGGTGCGTCAGGGGATGGGTGCCCTCGCGTGGCAGCGGGCAGCCCGCCTTATCGGTTGCACAACAAGAAGAGGGGCGCCTCTGGGCATGTGCAGAATGCGGCCCTCCGCCGCCGGGCCGCATGAGCGCCCCTGAGGGCAGAGGCTCCCAGGTCGGAGGGGACGGCGTCGGCGTCCTGCCCTTCCCCACAGAGGAAGCTCTGGGTGCTCAATTGAGTGGGGTGGGGGGTGGCACTTCTGTGACCCCTTCCCCGAGGCTGTGGGTGGTACCCTGCCACCTGAGGTGCCTTGTGTTTTTGCATTTTGATGCTGCAGAGTGATGTCGGTAGTCTGTGCATGCTCTCAGGTATCTCTCTCTCTCTCCTTTAATATCGTCCCCTGGCATAAAGTCTGAAGTATCTTGGGTTGAAAACTGGCAGGGAATTTCCTGCGGTTAATTTCGTGGTGTTAGGCCAGCCTCAAATTTAAGCCTCGAAGAGCAACGTTAGGGTGTGAACTGATGGTTCTGGTTTGTTTGTTTTTTGGTCAGATGCTCTAATGCTTCCGTTTTGTTTGTTTCATGCGAGGAGGTGCATATAAGTATTTATGCCTTCAGGTCTTTGACGATGGTGCTGAAATAGCGTGCACCTGTGTGATTTTATCTAATAGAGGTCTAAGGACTTCTGGCTAAAGCTTTTTAAGCTTGCATCTCGTCTGAACACCAGGTAGAGTTTCCTGCCACTTAACCAGAATTAGTGCCTCCATAATTTGGCATTAGCAAAAAGGACTTCCAGGGAGGCCTGAGAATCTGTGGCTTGCTTGGCAAGTAACAGTAGCATCAATGAGCAAGTGTGCTGGGAGGAAATTACAGCCACTTCACTCCTCCCCTGGTTTTGGTACTGCTGCAATACCAGGAGCTAAGCCATGGTTTGTTTTAGCGTCACGTGTTAACCTGGGCTCATTATTTGTTCAGCTCCATAGAAGCCAAGGTTTGCTCATGCCTTAGCTTCAATTTCCATAATTTCAGTACTCCCCACACAGAGAAATTGTGGCTGGATCTGATCTGCTCATTTTGACTGGCCCTCTAAATGGTTTCCCTGTTTGAGAAATTGATCTCATAGTATCACCAATATTGATATAGTATAGCTAATATTGACAATCTGACAATGTTCATACTGAGGAGCGATAAAGTTATATAGACACAGACATTTGTGAGCCCTAGAATAGGAATACATGCATTGAAGAGTAGGGGGAAAGCAATACCTAAAAACAACAACCAAAAACTCCTATCAGGTTGTACTGCCAGGGCCTATGAAAAGAAAGTTATGAGTTGTTCACTTAACATGAGGAAACAATGGTAAACCTGTTCCTCTTTCATGTGTTGGGTAATGTTTGCTTTAACTAATAAAAAGTGGAACCATAAGGTTAAGGTAAAGGACCCCTGGATGGTTAAGTTCAGTCAAAGGCGACTGTGGGATGGAGCGCTCATCTCGTTTCAGGCTGAGGGAGCCAGCGTTTGTCCACAGACAGCTTACCGGGTCGTGTGGCCAGCATGACTAAACTGCTTCTGGCATACAGAGGACTGTGATGAGTGCTAGAGTGCACGGAAACGCTGTTTATGTTCCCACCACAGCGGTACCTATTTATCCACTTGCACTGGTGTGCTTTTGAACTGCTAGGTTGGCAGAAGCTGGGACAAAGCAACAGGAGCTCACCACTGTTGTGCGGATTCGAACCACTGACCTTCCGATCGGCAAGCCCAAGAGGCTCAGTGATTAAGACAACAACACCACCCGTGTCCCAGTGGAAACAGAATATAATACTGAACACCCCTTGATGGGATTCTGATGCATTGAGCTATGGTGTAAAATGGTCTTTCTTTCTGTAAGCAGGGTACTGGAATTGGGAATTTGATCAATCTAAAAAGATTTGATCCAATATTGGTCATGCATTTTTAAAAACCTTTGTATGGGATCAACAACAATGGTAACTATCAACAGGTTTCATACATAAGCTTCTTACAAAAGAGAGAGAGAGAGATGTTGTTGTAAAACAGTAATGATTAATTAATGTTTATCCCACCCCTCCTCCAAGGAGCTCATGATGCATTATGGAGTCCTTTTATTCTGACAACAACCCTGTAAGGTAGCTTAGACTAAGGCTGGGCAGGTGACTGGACTAACCACTGTCTAATGTGCTTCATGGCTGAGTGAGAATTTAAGCCTATGGTCCCCTGGTTCCAGCCTCATCCTTTGTTCACTATGCTGTGGCCATTGCCACCTATAGCTGTGTTCCTGTTTGAATATGCCTATGCAGGCGTCCTCCCACTTAACATGGGGTTTATGTACCAGGCCCCCACGTGCATAAGTGAAATCGCTTAAAGTGTGGAGCTCCCCACTATAATAGGGAGGGTGTGTGTGGGGAGGGAGGGAGGGAGAGAGAGAGAGAGAGAGAGAGAGAGAGAGAGAGAGAGACCCGTCCTGGAAATCACTTGGGGCCACTGTTCAGCCTGTCCCAAGCCTGCCTGCCTGCCTACAGGGAGCTGCTGTATGTGGGGTTGGCTGGCCGTGAAGGGAGAATGCCGAGAAGGGCATCCAGCAAAACTGGTGCCAGGATCGGGGTGTGGATGCGCAGTGGAGATGGGGAGAAGGCGCCTCCTGCCCCGCACTGCTGGTCGATCAAAGGCCACCTTCCCTCTCCTGAGCAACTTCAGGGCAGTAGCCCCAATTAGGAAAGGCCTATTCATTCATTAATTCATTTTTCAGTGACCTGCATAAATGCAGTTGTGCACAAGTGGGATGCACATAAGGGTGTGTGTAAAAAGGTAAAAGATAAAGGACCCCTGGACGGTTAAGTCCGGTCAAAGGTGACTATGTACCTGTAGTTATATCAGGGAGCTAATATGAGAAGTTGTGTGATGCTTCTAGGCTTGCCCATGATTGCTGCCATAACGATTAATTCCACCATAATGACATTTTTACAAGTACAGTAAGCAGCCATCTACACAGTGGCATTTTTGGAATATTTGACAATATTAGACTGGTCAGTTGCACAGCTTGTCAGCCCTATGGTTAAGAGTGTGTTGTTATATGCAACTGTAAGTCCTGAAAATAACATTTTTTAAATTAAAAAAAAATCCTCTATGTTAATGTAGCATTTGCTGTTATAAATTGCAAGGTGGTCGTTAGCTACTGTGAACATTTGTGGTGTAGTACTTTCAGTCTTTAGTACAGTGTCTTTCAAAATGCATTACAGGGAGCTGTGGGGTTCTTGAAAGAGAAGCTATATAAAATTCTTAATAAAGAATAAATAAAATAAGAAGGAACAACTTTTAAAGAAGAACCTTAAGCATGTATATGAAGAAGTAAGTCCCACTTTTTCCAGTTGGATTTACTTCCCAGTCCACGTGTTTTGTTTAGCAGACTTAGGTTGCAAGCTTATACAATTAACTTAGAAGTAAAAGTAGAACTTCCTTTTGAATATGCATGTTTGGGTCAGACAGGCTCTAATTGTTATATGTACATACTTGGAAATAAGTTTTACTGAAATGAATAATTTGTAGTGGGCATCTGCAAGCTATAAAAATAATGTTAGTGCGGAAAGAAACATTTGCAGCTATCACTTCAGTTGAACCACAAACCTCTGTTAACATGATTATTTAAAATTCCAGATTGTCACTATTTTTGGTTGGCCTTCAATCATGTACCGGCTAATTCAAATTGCATCCCTGCCCCCAAATCAGACTTTTTGTGATAAGGAAAGTGATTGGGGTGACGACACTGGAATGAATGGGATAACTTAATATAACCGTAACAAATTGGAATGAATGAACAACTAAATAGTCATTGTTATCTAACCTTCCTGCAAATATGTGCAAATAAATCTGGATTAATGTCCAATAAACTGGTCATTTGGAAGCAACCTAACAAGCTTTACTAAAGCTATGTTGGTCTTTTCACATGTGCACTCACGAGGTCCTACACACTTGCCACCAACCAAGAAGTACAGTAGTTACTACTGAAGATTATAGGATATAACTTATGAATCTCTATGTAGAAGGAGGCAGTTTCCTGCTCAAAAAAGAGTAAGGCTTGAATGAGGTTTTGATCATATATTTTTTTACATCTTCATATCTACATGTTACTCCCTTCCCAACTAGCTCTTTTATTTCTTGTAAACAAGTCTGTTAACTGTTTAAAAAGCCAAAAACACAAAGTGTGCTGACAAGATTAGAGGATACGAATATGTCATTAAACCTATCTTCATTGATTGTGTGCATTTGATATTTTGAGTTCCAGTGTGCTTTGGTTTAGTGAAGCATTCCAGGCTTGTGGTTATTAGCGGTACTATCTGCAGAGGAGTATTGAGAGCTTTTCCATCAACAGCGATTCTCATACCAATGGCTTTAAAGGCTTTTAGGGGATATTTGAGATACAACACTTCACTTGTAGCAAAGCACTCTGTGGTATTCCAGTACTGCTGCCCGTTTAGTTACGATATCCCTCCAGGCATTCTTTTAAGTAAGCTTCTCTATTTATGTTTTGGAGTAAGGGAAAGCATGGGACCGGGATATGGTGATGAGAGTGTACTACGATTAAAGAATGGGGTATGTTGTTGCTGCCAGTGGCTATCACGGATTAAAAAGCAATGTGATTGACATAAAGTCCTAAATGTATTTATTTGAGAGTACATACCATACCAGCAGAATTTGCTTGTAGATGTTATGCTAAGAAATATAATATATTTATTTACACCAAAGAGTTTTGGACCATAGGGTGAAGTTTAAATCTGGAAGGTGCTGAACTCTTATGACTGAGAAGCTGTCAGAGAAATGGTTTTGTTGGGTTGCTGGAAGAAATGAAACAAGTACTAGAGTAGGAGGGCTGCTTCACT